TATATATATATATATATATATATATATATATATATATATATATATATATATATATATATATATAATACTGCAAAAATAAATTGGAAAAAGTAATTTTTCTAAAGGATTTATAAAATCAGAGATAACCCTGAAAAGTTTTTTTTTTTTTTTTTTTATAAATATCTTAAAAAAAATCTCATCAATGATTAACTTTTTTATTTATAATAAAAGGCATCTTAAATGAAGGGTCAAAAAATAATATATTTTTTTTAAATCACGAAAATAAAGATAATAGAATAAATAAAATATATTAAATAGTAAGATAATGATAAATATTAAATTAATAGTTTTAAATATGCATTAGGTTTGGGATAAGTAAATTAAAAATACATAAAAACAATAATTATAAGGATAAAAAGACGAAAAAAATGAAAAACCATGAATATGCATTAGGTTTGGGATAAGTAAATTAAAAATACATAAAAACAATAATTATAAGGATAAAAAGACGAAAAAAATGAAAAACCATGATAAAAGTATTCGAGCCAGCCAATTTAAGACAAGAAAAAGTATAGTAATTGATGGGACACAGCCAATTTAACTAGAGTTTACGGAACCCCAACCTTGGTTAACCAAATATTGTGGGACCATCTAAAAAGAGAGCTCAGAGCAATATATTCCTCCTACACGCAAACCATCAGAAATAAATGGGGTGAAAATTAGACAGTTCTAGGGTTTGACTGATGAAATTGGGCGTGAAATCTCCACACACCACTAGGTGAGAGAGAAAGAGAGCCTGCGCGCAAATCAGATGATTCTTCCGGTAACTTCGGTGGCTCGCCGTCTTCAAGATCCATCGCACTAGTGGCCCACACGATCTGATTCGTGCGAAAAAAACAATTTCTGAAATTCTGCCAAATTGTCGATTTTTTCTCTCTTTTTCGGGAAAGGAAAATTTTAGTATTTTAGAGAGGGAAAGTGGCCGTTGAGACTTGAGTGGTCGTTGAGGGTTAAACGACAGCGTTAATTTGGAAGGATTTGGATTAATTACGGTGTTCGATTTTTATGTTTTGCAATTTATTTTTTCCTTTTTACTCATAGAAGATATCGTACAATTTTTGCATGCAATCTGGTGGTGGGGCTCAGCAGGGAGGGGGTGTCCATGGGCGAAACATGGTGCCCGGACCACCGTCCTCATCTGCATCGCCGTCTTCTTCATCTTCAGCAGTGTCCGCGCCCCATTTGGGGTTTGATCCGATGAAGCAGCAGCATCAACAGCAAAGACAGGTTAGGGTTTTTTTTTTCTTGCTGTGCTGATTTGATCACTGATATTAGCTACTGAATGCACACTCAGTTGGAAGATTCTTTAGATTAGCTCAAGTTAATCTTGGCACACAGTCATCATTCTCTGTTCAAATTGTTAATAGAACTGATCTAGTCATCATATTCTACCAAATTAGCCACAGAAGATAGTAACTTTTTTCGGCTGTGATACTATATTTGAACAAACCTATAGTCTGTGTTTCAACCATTTTAACTCTCCTTCTCTGTTTAAAGCTGGAACGAGGTAATCAGTCTTGGAAGTATAATATTTAACTATGTTAAAAGTTGGTGTGGTATCTTACTGTACTCACTTAAAGTGTCTTGTCAACTTGATTTCTTAAGTTAAATGAGCTAGAGTTAGGTCTGTAAACAATCTGCAATTTCTTTGTACTCCCAAGAAAAAGATTTTGAAATGCACCCGTGGACAAATGTGTCCTATTAATCTGACTTCGCCGCTAACTTTTGAACTTTTTTTGAGTACTTTTATGTTACTGCTCTGCAAAGATCTAATTCAGATGGTTTTGATGTGTGTGTACATTGTTTATGCAGTCTTTGCAACAACAGTTACTTCGAAACCCTGATGGGAGAGAAGCTTTATTAGCCTATCAATCTGGAATTCGGCAAGGAGGAGTATTAGGAGGTGGTGCTGGCTCGGGTTCTGGCTCTATGCAAATGCAACGTGTAGCTCAGCAGCATGGCCAAGAGGAAGGGCAGAATATGAGACAGGGTTTTGATCAACACATGATGAATCCAATGCAGCAGGCTTACATGCAATATGCCCTCCATGCCCAACAAGCCCAACAGGCCCAACAAGCCCAACAAGCCCAACAGAAGTCATCTCCTGTCATGCAAGCCCAGCAGCAAATGAAAATGGGAATGATGGGGAAACCACCTGACCATTTTGGCCTTGGAGGGAAGCAGCCAATGGAGGAAGGCCACCAGACAGTTTCTGACCAAAGTCAAAGTCAAAATCAGAATCAGAAGCATTTTGCCATTCCCACATCCCTAGGGAATAATATAAGACCTATGCAAACCCCACAAGCTCAACAGGGTGTCCATAATATGGGAAACAGCCAGATGTCAATGGCTGCTCAACTGCAGGCAATGCAGGCTATGGCTCTTGAACGTAACATTGATCTTTCACTTCCTCAAAATGCTAATCTGATGGCGCAACTAATGCCACTCATGCAGTCTAAGATGCTTGGTCAACAAAAAGTCAACGAAAGCAACATGAGCCCACAGGTCTCCATGTCAAAACAACAGGTCACCTCTCCACAACTGACAAACGAAAATTCTCCCCGTAGTGATGTGTCTGGGCATTCAGGCTCTACAAAAGCAAGGCAGACAATGTCACCTGCTCATCTGGGTTCAACCTCAAATGCAAGTCAGGGTCAGCAATTCCCCATTCATGGGAGGGAGAACATGAATCAGTTGCCACCTAGGCAACCCACCATTAGTGGTAGTGGAGTGTCTTCTATGCCTCCCCCACAGTCACCTGCTAACATGAGCCTGGGTCCAGATCATCTGTTGCAGTTACAGCATGCTAGGCAGCAGATGAATAGGTCTTCTCCACAGCCTCCTGCAGCTTCAGCTAATGGTGTTGGATTGGAAAACCCTTTAACATCTCAGAAACAACAAACACCACAAGGCCAACCACACCCAGGCTTTACAAAGCAGCAACTACATGTTCTCAAAGCCCAGATTCTGGCTTTCAGGCGTATAAAGGTTTGCAGAACTTGTTTTTTTTTTTTTTAAATATATTTTTCTTTTATCATCTCAGGGGTTATTTCTTTCTGACTTAATGAGCTTAATGGGTTAAGCACGTCATCTGGACAACTCTCTCCCTCCCTCTCTCCCCCTCTCTCTCTCTCTCTATATATATATATATATATATATCACTGTTGTTTTTTAACTTAATTCGGACAGAATAGCTTACTGGGTTAAGCAAAAAACTTGGCTTAATGTATTTGGGCACTACTTGTTTACCTATTTACCCCCTTTTTTTTTTCTCCAGACAACTCCTCTCATGTTCTCCCTTCATGGTGACCTAACAAGGTTTTACATTAGTTTTGATCTGAAAAAGCTTTGCTTAATGGTTTTTTGAATTTGAATTTTTAGACCATTTTCATTTACATATTCGAACATTTCAAACACTTGCAACCTCCAAAATCATTTTTACTTAAATTAAAATTTTATTTTAACGATATTTTTCTTATAATCATCTTTGCAAACTGAAGTCTAATAGCTTCTTAAGATCAAAACTAGTGTAAGACCTTCTTAGGTCAACATATTTGTTAGAGTTGAAGTTTATTCACAATCAAAACAATTCTTAACTACTATGTCCGGTTAAAACTACTATTAATGGTATTTATGATTAAATTTCATGATCAATCTAAGTTGCTAATCTTATTGTAATTAAATACATTTTCATCTGTATTGTTATTTATAGAAAGTAAACTCTGATTTATAAGTGTTCTTAAATAAAGTCATCTGTTATTTACCATCATTTCTATACAGAAGGGTAAAATGTTCATTTACTCATTTTCCGACGGTTCATTCAGTACGACACTTTATTCAGACATACATCATTACCCATTCAACCACTTTATCCATATGGGCTTAATGATAAAAAAAAGAAAGAAATAACCCCTCAGGCTACTTTTTTTGGGTAATATTCTCTCTTTTTTTTTGGTGGACTTATGGATTTGACTTGATGGCAGAAAGGAGATAGAACTCTGCCTCGTGAACTAGTACAAGCTATTGCCCCACCTCCCCTTGAAGTACAGTTGCAACAGGTGGCTTCCCCTGCTGTAGTAGCTAACCATGATAAAGCTTCAGTTAGAAGCCCTGTGGAGTCCAATAACAAGGATCTTCAAGCTGTGACTATGTCTGCTGGAATGAACACCATGAAAAGAGAAGCGTATGAGGATAAAGCAACAGCTATTGCACAAGCCACACCTATAATAAAGGAAACTCCATCTGTTCCTCCCCCTGCAAAAGAAGAGCAGAGAATTACTGCATTCCCTCCTAAACAGGAACATGAGGCAAATGAAGGTGTAACAGACAAGGGTAAGGCAGTTGCATCAGGACCTGATGTTGTCCCTGAAACTGTCCAATCTAGATTGACTTCACAACCTGGAAACTTACCTCAAACAAAAGATCCTGGCCCTTCTAGAAAGTACCATGGTCCACTGTTTGACTTTCCTTTCTTCACTCGGAAACACGATTCTTTCGGATCAAGTATGATGCTCAATAACAATAACAATCTATCTCTAGCATATGATGTGAAAGATCTTTTTCTTGAGGAAGGTACTGAAGTGGTTAACAAAAGGAGAGATGAGAATTTAAAGAAGATCAACGGTTTGCTGGATTTGAATCTAGAGAGAAAAAGGATAAGGCCAGATCTTGTTTTGAGGTTACAAATTGAGGAAAAGAAACTCAGACTACAAGACGTACAAGCACGTGTAAGAGATGAAGTTGATCAACAGCAACAAGAAATAATGGCTATGCCAGATAGACCCTATAGGAAATTTGTTAGACTATGTGAGCGACAACGTATGGAGCTCAACAGACAAGTGCAAGCTGCTCAGAGGGCGATTAGGGAAAAACAATTGAAATCAATCTTCCAATGGCGTAAGAAGCTTCTAGAATCTCACTGGGCCATCCGTGATGCACGGACTTCTAGAAACAGGGGTGTTGCTAAGTACCATGAGAAGATGTTGAGGGAGTTCTCAAAGAATAGAGATGATGATAGAAGTAAAAGAATGGAGGCTTTGAAAAATAACGATGTGGAAAGGTATAGAGAGATTCTTATGGAACAGCAAACTAGTGTCCCGGGTGAAGCTGCTGAGAGATACGAGGTTCTTTCCTCGTTTTTGTCTCAGACAGAAGATTATTTAAATAAACTTGGAGGCAAAATTACAGCTGCCAAGAATCAACAAGAAGTAGATGAGGCTGCAAATGCTGCATCTGTAGCAGCAAGAGCTCAGGTATTTTCTACTTTTGTGTTTACGATTTTTCATCTCATATATAACTTATGATTTGAATTTGTTGAAAAACAAAGGGTTTATCTGAAGAAGAAGTGAGAGCTGCAGCATCATGTGCAAGGGAAGAAGTTTTAATAAGAAATCGTTTCTCTGAAATGAATGCACCTCAGGATGGTTCTTCTGTCAGCAAGTAAGCTCCTATTGATTATTGCTAGTAGATGATTTATTATAACTTATAAGATGGTTTTTGTAAATCTTTTGCTTCTTGTTGTTGTTGTTGTTGTTGTCAACAGATATTATACTCTTGCACATGCTGTGAGTGAAAGGGTCATACGACAACCCTCAATGCTGCGGAAAGGAACTTTACGTGACTATCAACTTGTATGCTCCTTTTATTTTTCATTAGATGCAGTAGAAGATAGATTTATGCTCTCCTTTTATCTAAAACTATAATTCCTTTATTGGTTTTCCTTCCAGGTTGGACTGCAGTGGATGCTTTCATTGTATAACAATAAGTTGAATGGCATATTGGCAGACGAAATGGGTCTTGGGAAAACTGTACAAGTTATGGCTTTGATTGCTTATCTGATGGAGTTCAAAAGCAATTATGGCCCACATCTTATAATTGTTCCAAATGCAGTTCTTGTTAACTGGAAGGTTGCTTCACTCACTTGACTTAACCTTGATTAATTTCCTGTTAATAAATTTTTTCTTTCGTTCTTGTATAACCTTGATTTTTCTCTACAGAGTGAGTTACATACTTGGTTGCCAAATGTGTCCTGCATTTACTATGTCGGAAACAAAGATCAACGATCAAAGTTATTCTCACAAGTAAGATTTCACAGCTTGTCTTCTTTTTCCCATTTCAAATTCTTTATTTACATATTCTTTTGCTTTCAGGAGGTTTGTGCTATGAAATTCAATGTCCTTGTGACAACCTATGAATTCATCATGTTTGACCGTGCAAAACTCGCAAGAGTTGACTGGAAATACATAATCATCGATGAAGCACAAAGAATGAAAGATAGAGAATCCGTTTTGGCTCGTGACCTTGACAAATACCGCTGCCAGAGGCGCCTTCTTCTCACAGGCACCCCCTTACAGGTCTGTTAACTCTCTGGTCAACATTCTTAGTTTGACCATAATATGATATAATTTAATAAGTGCTATATTTTTTCCTCTCTTGCAGAATGATCTAAAAGAGCTGTGGTCATTACTGAATCTATTACTCCCTGAAGTATTTGACAATAAGAAAGCTTTTCATGATTGGTTCTCACAGCCTTTTCAAAAAGAAGTCGCCCACAATGAAGATGATTGGTTGGAAACCGAGAAAAAAGTCATCATTATCCATCGGCTTCATCAAATCTTGGAGCCTTTCATGCTCAGGCGCCGTGTAGAAGATGTAGAAGGTTCACTTCCTCCAAAGGTAATCTTTTATCTTTCATAAAAACACCACCAAAGTAAGTTTGTTCGTTGCTATTTGGTTTAATATAAAATAACCCTTTATAAAAAAATCATTGATCACAGATCTCAATCAAGTTACGATGTAAAATGTCGGCTATCCAAGGTGCGGTATACGATTGGATAAAGGCCACGGGTACTATCCGTGTCGACCCGGAAGACGAGAAACGAAAGGTTCAAAAGAGTTCAATGTACCAAGCTAAAACATTCAAGCCATTAAACAACAGATGCATGGAGCTCAGAAAAACCTGCAACCATCCTCTACTTAACTACCCGTATTTCAACGATTTCTCCAAGGACTTTCTTGTGAGATCATGTGGGAAATTATGGGTTCTTGATAGAATCCTGATAAAGCTTCAAAGAACAGGGCATCGAGTACTTCTTTTCAGCACAATGACAAAGCTTCTAGACATTTTGGAGGAATATTTACAGTGGCGTAGACTTGTCTACAGAAGAATCGATGGTACAACGAGCTTGGAAGACCGTGAGTCAGCAATTGTTGACTTTAATAGCCCTGATACGGATTGCTTCATTTTTCTGCTGAGCATTCGTGCAGCTGGACGTGGTCTAAATCTTCAAACAGCCGACACAGTGATCATATACGACCCTGACCCAAACCCTAAAAACGAAGAACAAGCGGTTGCTAGGGCCCACCGTATTGGTCAAACACGAGAAGTCAAAGTCATCTACATGGAAGCTGTGGTTGATAAAGTCTCGAGTCATCAAAAGGAAGATAACTTCAGAAACGGAGGTAGTGTCGACTCGGACGATGACCTGGCGGGTAAAGACCGATACATAGGGTCGATCGAGAGTCTCATTAGAAACAACATCCAACAATATAAAATTGATATGGCTGATGAAGTCATCAATGCTGGAAGGTTTGACCAGAGAACAACACATGAAGAAAGACGGTCAACTTTGGAGTCACTGTTGAAAGATGAAGAGAGGTATCAAGAAACTGTACACGATGTCCCCTCTTTACAAGAAGTCAACCGAATGATTGCGAGAAGCGAAGAGGAAGTTGAGCTTTTTGATCAAATGGATGAGGAGTTCGATTGGGCTGAAGAGATGACCCGATACGATCAAGTACCTAAATGGCTTCGTGCCAGTACACGGGAAGTGAATGCTACAGTTGCGCGTATGTCTAAAAAACCACCTAAAAACATTTTGTACACGGATAATATCGGTGTGGAACCAAGTGACATGGCGTCTGATGTTAATGAAAAAAGAAGGGGAAGATATAAAGGAAAGAAGAATTATGCTGAACTAGATGATGACATAGAGGAGTTCTCTGAAGCTACATCTGAAGAGATGGTTAATGGGGGCGATTCTGAAGAGGACGATGAAACACCTGTCATTAATGAGGTACCCACCACACAAGATGACGAGTATCATCCTAGTACTAGACACAATCATAGGTTACAAGGATCTAGTTCTTCCGGATCATCTTCAGGTAGCAGACGAGTCATCCCAGTACCAGTGCCTTCTATTTCTTCCCAGAAATTCGGTTCACTTTCTGCATTAGAATCCCGGCCAGGTCCTCGTTCCAAAAGATTGGTATGCCTCTTTTATCAAAAACTTAAAAAGAAAGAAAATCATGCTACTTGCATAGTAGTATCTAACTTTTTTGTTTTTTGTATATGCAAATTGCAATAACTAGCATGATGATCTTGAAGAAGGGGAGATTGCCATGTCTGGAGAATCGCATATGGAACTTCAACGATCTGGTAGTTTGAACCATGACCGTGAAGAAAATGAAGATGAACAGGTGTTACAACCAAAAATAAAACGGAAACGTAGTATTCGAGTTCGACCGAGGCTTGCTGTTGATTCTCTCCTTCGTGTTGACTCCTTTCAAGCTGACCGTAGACTACATGGCATTGGGAAGACTCAGATGCATAATACTCAGCCTGAACAAAAATTGGTTCAAGAGAAAAACACTTACAAGAATGATCATCATCATAGCAACCCCTCGACCTCGTTGAAGGCCAAACGAACTCCTCCGGCTAACCGGAAAATCCCAAACAAGGCCAATCTTCATGTTCCTGGGAAACCATCCAGACCTAATCCCATATCTACACCTTCAGATGCTGAGCACTCGCACTCTGAAGTGAAAGTAAAGAATGGAAGTGGACCCATCATGACTGAGGCTATACAGAGAAGGGTACGTATTACAATTACATTAACAATGGTCTTGATCGAATATGTTATGTTGACTGATGACTATCTTGGTTTGCAGTGTAAAAATGTAATCACAAAGATCCAGAGGAGAATTGATAAGGAAGGGCAGCAAATTATCCCGTTGCTAACTGATTTGTGGAAGAGAACCGGAAGTCCCGGGGGCAGTGCTGGGAACAATCTTCTTGATTTACGCAAGATTGAGCTTCGTGTTGACCGTTTGGACTACAATGGAGTTATGGATTTGATAGCTGATGTACAGCTTATGTTAAAAGGCGGAATGCAGTATTTTGGATTTTCCCATGAGGTATGTATCATGTATGAAGCCTTAACTGGTTTGACCAATTTTGACTGACTTGTCTGATTGTATTAATTCTGATAAACAGGTGAGGTCCGAAGCAAGGAAAGTGCATGATTTGTTTTTCGATATAATGAAGATTGCATTTCCAGATACGGATTTCCGAGAAGCCAGGAGTGCACTGAGTTTCTCTGGGTCCATGGCTTCTTCCTCATCTCCAAGAGGGTTGCTGCCACCCAAGCGACCAAAACCAATGATGGAAGTCGAGCCCGAACCGAGTCTACCCCCAAGGCCGGTTCCACGTGGGTCCAACTCCATCCCGAGTAGAGAGACACGGTTCGGTAGGGGTGCAGCCCCGGCTCATGGTCTGGAAGAACCTGGTCCTAGAGTGTTGACCCATCCAGGTGAGCTTGTTATATGTAAAAAGAAGAGAAAGGACAGAGAGAAGTCTGGGGTGGTGAGACCTGGGAATGGTGGGGGGTTGGGTGTGGGTGGTCCTGTTTCGCCGATTGCTCGGGGGATTAGGAGCCCGGTTCAGGGTCAGGGTCAAAGTAGAGTGGTAGGTCAAAGTCAACAACTGGTTGGTCAACAAGCTAATGTTGGTTGGGCAAACCCTGTTAAGAGAATGAGGACAGATGCAGGGAAGAGGCGGCCGAGTCAACTATGATGATGATTTGCAGGTTAGTGTGTATCAAGTTGGGTGGGGTGGCTATATTGGTTGTGAAGCTTAATGTGGATAGTGGTATATACTTACTTGTTTCTTGCAAGATCTTTCATCTTTGTTATCAATGATGAACTGTAATGCGCTATGTTGTGTTTCTTGATTTCCAGTCTCCTTCATAAGCTTCTTGTATGTGTTACAATCTTTTATCTGTGCCCTTAGGATGAGAGGAGGGTGTCCACACTCACTGTGAGTGAGTCGATGGCTAAAAATCACTATTAAAATAAAATGCAACTGCAGTACCTGCTGGGCTGCTGTTCCGTGTCCTCCTTGTCCATACACACATACGTGAGTGTAATGCGTAAATTTATTTACAATGGTACTGATTTTGAAACTTCAATTTAGTTGTATTTTAATGCTTTTTTATATTTGGTTGCAAACTCTTATTGATTTGCTGTTACCATTGTTTGGCTTATGTAAATCTCAAGCTAGCTAATTTGACATATTAAGCAATCTTTGTGGTTATACCTAAATCTGCATGTTATTTTACTGCAAATTTGCCCCTTCACTCAGGTCTTTGTTCTAGCTAATTATGAATATTATCTCCACTCCATTCTCCTTCAGACAACTCGCTGAAGGGGAATGGGAGTAAATGAAGATTAAGGGCTCAGTTCGTTGAAGATAATTTGGAGAGAGAGAGAGAGAGAGAGAGAGAGAGAGAGAGAGAGAGATTACACGGCTCTATTTTGATAGCTAAACTCATTTGATTCCTTTTAGCAAGATTATGTTTTTAGAGACCCATAGCAATCAAAAACTTATTTGAGAGAAAAGACGAAGGGTTAATGAACTAGAAAGGTAAGGAACTTTGATTTTTGTTCACATTAAGGTAACCATGTTTTTTTTGTACACATTTGACCATTGAACTTGTTTGATCTATTCAAAATAAGGTAATATGACTGGTAATTAGCAATAACATTACCCTATTATGAACAGGTCAAACAAGTTTAATGGTTAAATGTGTTCGAAAAAAATATGGTTACCTAAACATGGACAAAAACCAAAGTTCCTTACCCATTTTGGTAATATTGAGTTATTTATGTTAAGTGCAAGTAGTCATAAGATCTATTGATGTGACATGAAATTGGGTTGTTCGGTCTTTGTGTATGAGGAAATGGTCAAGTCTTGGGTCAACCAGTTTAGGCCCAGCTAGTTAGGGGTTAGGTTGTATACGCTTAAGGAGCTAGGTTGTATGTGCTTTAAAGACCTAGCAACACAACCTAGCCTATGACTAGCCGAGATTGAACTGGGTTAAACCAAGCCTAACCTAATTGTTCATTGATTGTCAGAGCCTGATTCGAGGGCATAGTCCTTGAGACGGTTCTTGTCTAATATTACCAAAATAGATAAGAAACTTTGGTTTTTGTTCATATTTAGGTAATCATGTTTTTTTTTTCGTACACATTTGGTCAATAAATTTGTTTGACCTGTTCATAATAGAGTAATATTACCATAATTACCAGTCATATTACCCTATTTTGAACAGGTCAAACAAGTTCAATGGTCAAATGTGAACGAAAAAAAAACATAATTACCTAAATGTAGACAAAGATCAAAGTTCGCTACCTTTTTTAGGTCATTAACCCAAAGATGAATGGGAGGGAAGGAAAGTGGGAAAATTTTCAAGCCCAATTTTATGCAAACATCTTGTGAAAATCATTCAAATACACCCCTTTTATACAAACATGTGGTGTTGGGTTCGTGTTGAGTTGAAATTTTAAATTTGTTGGGAGAATTTCACCATAATCCGTCCATCTTATTTAACATGTCATGTTGTGTTCACCTGTTTATTTTCACCTTAAATTCGTGTTAAGTTAGAAGGTTAAAGTTTAAACCTTGTAAATGCATCATGTCGTTGAAACACTAAACGTGTGTTGGGGTATGAAGTCTTGTCCAACATGGAGCACTTGAGATTCATGGAGCATGTGACAAATGAATGAATCATCTGAGAAGGGAATGGATCTCTTGACAAAGAAACAAATATTCTAAAAGGGGGTATGGAGCATCCTGGTGCATGGATGGGCCATCTATGATCAAGATGCGCCATCCTATGCTTGGATGCGCCACTTTGAAATCAGAATATGCCACGAAGTGACTTGATATGCCACAGAGTGACTTGATATGCCACTAAGTGATAGGACATGCCAAAGTGATAGGAGATGTCACAATGTGACATGATATGCCACCAAGTGACTTGATATGCCACCAAGTGAGATGATATGCCACAAAATGACATGATATGCCACCAAGTTACAGGAGATGCCCCCAAGCGACATGATATGCCACCAAGTGACAAGATATGCCATTCAAGAGGTGGATACACCATTATGGAACATGATGTTCCACCAAGGTTCATGGTGCACCATCATTGCTCCTGATGCACCACTCAGATGTCAAGTTCACTAGGATGCTCAAGACTGTTCAAATGTTGCTCAGAAGAATGAAGATGCTCATAGAGGATGTTCCACGTGGTTGATGTGCCATTGTGATACATGATGCGTCATCATGTGTTTTGGTTGATGCTCATGAGGTCGAAGATTCTAGAAGCACCCACATAACATTCTGTGAATGGTTGGAAATTAGGACATCTCCTATATGGGCTAATTATGGATGGGTCTGACCCATCATAATTATGGTTTCCCATGATTGCCTATAAATAAGTTCATATATCCATCATTGTTAGTTGCAAAGAAATTTCAAGAGAGTAATCATTGTGAGATTGAGAACACATCCTTTTGAGCAGTTAGCAAGCAAGAGAGATTCTTTTGTTTTTAGAACTCAAGTGAGGTGTAACTTTTGTGTGATTGTAATTGTTCTTGGAAATTAATAAAATCCTCTCTCTCTCTCTCTCTCTCTCTCTCTCTCTCTCTCTCGCGTGCGCGCGCGTTCGCCTGTGGACATAGGTCACCTTCACCAAACTACGTTAAATATTGTGTTCACTTGATTTACATTTTTCAGAAGTTTTATTTCCGCAAGTTCACTGAAGTTAGTTTTGATATTTGTCTGAAGTGCTCAACTTGTTTTGTTGTCATCCTAACAAATGTGTTTGCAAAAAGCAGAAGGGCAGAAAAAAAAAGTGAAAAAAATAGAAAGAGTCAAGAGTTAGGATGAGAGGCAATGTCAATGTTCTAAAAAGCTCGTTATTGCTCCAAGACTTGCATCTGACGCCACGCCAAAAAAACACCGTCTTAAGTCATTTGTATTTATATAATTATAAATTATAATAAAAAACTGAATAATAGTAGAAATCATATATATGTATATATAAAATTAAGAATTATATACAAAGTTGATGCCTTAAGTCGCACCCTAAAAAACATCACGACTCACCATTTTTCTTGAAGCTTAGGATTTGATGTTGCTGTCAAGCCACATCTCATGTTATTTAGAATATTGGGCAAGGTTATGTGGAATAGGGAGTGACCGAGTGACATTGTAGAGTTTTTTGACCTAGGCGGTAAGTTGTTTCCACATTGTAGAGTTTTCTTTTGTGATGTATCAGTGTGCATAATTAAATGTATTCAATACTCTTAGTCAAACCAGTTCTGTTTTTGTCGGGCTAGTTCTTACCACACATACCCCTTTATTAAGAACAAATCTCTGGTTTTATTTCCATTGTGCTCGTATCTAGAACCTGTCTTATATGAATGCGAAAACCCACTTCGATCATGCATAGAACGAAAGTAACAAATAATAAAATTTTCAACAAATCCCAAATGAATAGTTCTTATTAGTTACAAGACGATCCTTGAAGCTTATATTCAACTTCTCTGTACGGGGAGCTAAATTTGATACATGTCAAAATTTGAAACTTTAAAATTGACACATGTAATCTAGTTTTGAATACCTAATCAATCCTGGGATAAACAAAAATAACTGGTTTCATGTGATTAACCATTAAAACATGACAATTTAAAACAAAAAACATGACATATAATTAGGAAAAATTAAAATTGGTGGTCAAAGCATTAAAATTTAATATGTTGAAAACTTTTTATGTCAAGGGATGAGTAAAAGCTGAATTGCAAACTGAAAAATCGAGACCGAACATGAAATTGATGGTTTGGTTTCTATTTTTTCAAAACCCAAAAATTTGGTTCGGTAAAACCGAACCGAACCAATTTGTGTAAATTATTAAAAAAATATATATTTTATGAAAACATTATAAATAAGTTTTGCGGAATTCTAGCATAAGTAGCAACTTGTTCATGTGGTTGTGAATTTATAACTAAGGTCTCTAGTTGAATCTTGTCTTCGATATGATGTGTTCTATTTTTCCAACGAGGGACGCACATCCCACATCGATGCCCATATAAAAGCTCCGTCAATTTTATTTAAGGGGGTAACTCATTTTCATTTAAATCTTAACTTTGAGGAGTCCCACATCAACTTTTACAAAATCAAAACCAATTATGAAATCAATCAAGGTCAATTTCAAAATCCTGTATGTTAATATGCTCGATTCATATTGTTGTTTGGGTTATGGTTGGGTAGAGTTAGTGAATTACCCTAATAGGGTGCTTTGCTAGGTGAATATCAAGGAGTATACATTTAGACATTAGCCTCTCTCATTTCTATGATAAGTTTTAAGACCCATCAACATACCAAAAAGTTTGTATACCCATACAATCATGGATATTGTACTTCAGAGTTGAGAGTTAAGTTTTTAGTTTAAACCATTGATATATCAGGTTACCTATTGTTTATCATTTTTGTGTGTGTAAAAACCCATGTTTGAGGCTATAGAACGCAAGCTTAAGTACATAAAAAGAGGTTGCTTATTACGTGATGAATTGAAGACATCAAACAACACATAGCAAAAGTATCAACTCAATTTGAGTTTATATGAGAGAGTTAAAGTAGATATTTTTTTTGCACATGGCTATTAAGAAAAAAAAAACAAGTCTGGAAAATTTAAGTTTTACTCAGGCTATACTTTTCCAAATAAGTTGATTCTTGTGCCCAACAAAGAAGACGCAGGAAGAAGAATCAACCAAATCCAGGTTTATATGAAAGAGTATGAATGTCCAAAGTTTCAGAAAATTTTGGTTCAATATTGGTTTTTACCTTGATTCAATAGTCTTGAGAACCAAATTTGGGCTCACTAACGGTCATAGAGGGTTCACCAAAAAAATTTAATCAACATTAACTTAAACAAACAATGAACACAAGAAAATGATTATAAACCAAACATGCCTGATTTTCTCAGGGCTTCATCGATTACC